CATATTGGGGCGATGCTCTAACCAACTGAGCTACCTGGCCAAGGCCTACAATTGCAAGTTATTTTAAAAAGAAAAAGAATCCGTCTGGCTGGTGTAGCGCAGTGGTTAAGCATAGGCCCATGCACCAAGAGGTTGCCAGTTTGATTCCTGGTCAGGACACATTCCCAGGTTGTGGACCTGATCCCCAGTGTGGGGCATGCAGGAGGCGGCCAGTTGATGTTCTCTCTCATCAATGTTTCTATCTCTCTCTCCCTCTCCCTTCCTCTCTCTCTCCCTCTCCCTTCCTCTCTCTCTCTAAAAATCAATTAAAAAAATATTTAAAAATAATAATAAAATAAATAAATAAAAGGACCTAAATCTTAATTCCATCTACTTTCATGCTAACAGACTTAGGTAACAGCACTTTCCTTTAATCTTGGATTTGACTACAGAGCACATTACAGTTTTTGTATCAAAGTACCCAACAAAATCCTAGAGGAAAAAACTGACCTTAAAAAGTAGGCTGCCTCCCCAACAAAGTCTCAAGGGCCTCAGTTCCACCTTTCAAGAATAAATTACATGAATAAGAATTTGGGATGTCAACAAGAAAATTATCTCTTTTCTTAAATACATGTTCAATTCTTTAATATTCTATCAAATCTCTTCCTGATATAAAGAAAGAGAAATAGGTAAAGAGACATTTCAAGATCCTCTTTGGACCAAACAGGACCAAACCTTCCTACTATCTCTAGATAATCTAAAGAGAAGACAGTTGTGTCTTCAGGAGAACATTCCAGACATTCTCCGCAGTGGAATTCTTCTGATCCCATAGTTCAAATCAGAAGAAATCTTTCTAATAGTTTCAGAGATGGAACATAAATGTTTGACAGAAAGTCAGTTGCTCTAGGACAAAGAAAGTCACATAACAGAGAACAGGGTTTTTGTTTGGTGTATTTTAATCCCAGCCAGAAGGAACTACAACCTTGCCTAATCTGGCTTCAATAACCCAGGCAGGTGGTATGGCAAGACTTTTCTAAGCATGGACATTAAAAAATCCGTTGATGAATCAGCTGTTCATAACCATTTAAGAAAGTAACCAACTGAAGAAACATTCACATCAAACAACTTCAAAATGGTGCTCGCTTCGGCAGCACATATACTAAAATTGGAACAATACAGAGAAGATTAGCATGGCCCCTGCACAAGAATGACACGCAAATTCGTGAAGCGTTCCATATTTTTACAGAGAGAAAAATAAAAAATAATAAAAAATAAAAAAACTTCAAAATGAGCAAGCCCAGTCTGTGTATTTCTCAACCAGGTTTTAGACCACCGATTCTCAACCTGTGGGTCGCGACCCCTTTGGGGGGGGGGGTCAAATGACTCTTTCACAGGGGTCGCCTAAGACCACTGAAAAACACATTATTTCCGAAGGCGATTCATAACAGTAGCAAAATTACAGCTATAAAGTAGCAACAAAAATAATTTTATGGTTGGGGGTCAACACAACATGAGGAACTATATTAAAGGGTCACGGCATTAGGAAAGTTGAGAACCACTGTTTTGTTTTGTTTTTTATCTTCACCCAAAGACATTTTTCCATTTTTTGTTCAGATAGAATGGGAGGAAGAGAGAAAGAGAAAGAGAGAGAGACATCAATGTGAAAGGGACACATTGAGTGGCTGCCTCCTGCATGACCCAACCAGGGTTGGGTACAAACTGAAACCGCAGTACATGCCCTTAGCGGGAACCGAACCCGGATCTCTGTGGACCGCAGGCTGATACTCTCACCACTGAGCCAAACCAGCCAAGGCGAGAACCACTGTTTTATTTATTTATTTATTTTTATTATTATTTTTTTTAATCCTCACCCGAGGACACTTTTCCATTTTTTGTTCAGGTAGAGTGGGAGGGAGAGAGAGGAACAGAGAGAGAGAGAGAAACATCGACGTGAAAGGAACACATCGAGTGGCTGCCACCCGCACAACCGACCAGGGCCGAAGACAAACTGCAACCGAGGTACGCGCCCTTAGCGGGAACCGAACCCGGGTCTCTCAGGACCGCAGGCCGACGCTCTAACTGCTGAGCCAAACCGGCCAGGGCGAGAACCACTGTTTTAGACAAACAAACTTAATAGCAAGAATTCAAGGGTAATTACAACAAATGGAAAAAAGTAAAAAGTGAATGGGTAGTTTTTTGTTAAAACTGGATTCCAAATTCAACAGCAATTTCCCCCTGATGAGCACTTAATAACTACTGACTCAAATAACCCTATGGTGGCCCATTAGTACCAGTTAGACATTATATCCTTAATTAGGTATCAAACTTGAAAGGAAGATTTCATGTATCTTTGTCCATTTTACCCAATGAGCTCTTTTTTTTTTCTTTTATCCTCACCCGAGGACATTTTTCGATATTTTGTTCAGATAGAGTGGGAGGGAGAGAGAGAGAGAGAGAAACATCGATGTGAAAGGAACACATCGAGTGGTCGCCACCCACATAACCCAACCAGGGCCAGGGACAAACTGCAATCGAGTTACGTGCCCTTAGAGGGAACCGAACCCGGGTCTCTCTAGACCGCAGGCCAACACTCTAACCGCTGAGCCAAACCGGCCCGGGCCCCAATGAGCTCTTAAGCTCAGACAGCACCATATATTTTTATAGTTCTCTCCGATTATTTTACAGCACAGGGTAGGTGCTCGATAGTGACTTGTTGAACTGAACGAAAGTAAACTTAAGAGTATAGTAAGTAGCACTATCTAAAAGAACAAGCAAATATGAATAGGAAAAAAAAGCAGCAAAGGATTGCCCTGGCTGGTTTGGCTCAGCAGTTAGAGCGTTGGCCTGAGGACCAATGAGTCGCGGGATTGATTCGGGTCAAGGACATGTACCACAGTTTCAGTTCGTCCCCGGCCCTGGTCGGGTCATGCAAGAGGCAGCCACTCATTGTCTCTCTCTCACATTGATGTTTCTTTTCCTCTCTCTCTCCCTCCCTCCCACTCTATCTGCTCATAAATGGAAAAATATCCTCAGATAAGGATTTAAAAAAGCAGCAAAGGATAGATCAATGTGCTAGAAACAGAAAAGATAGAAGAATGGGTATCTAGAGAAACATGAAGCTATGCACATAGGTCATTGTTCTAAAATTTGTTAACTTGCTGAATTCATTCATTCATGAATTCACCTATCATCCAATAAATATTTACTGAGTACCCACCAGATACCACAGCATTGTTCTATAATAGTGGTTCTCAGCAGGGGTGACTTTGTCCCCCAGGAGACATTTAGCAATGTCTAAAGACATTTTTTATTGCCACGCTACTGGCATCTAGTAGACAGAAAACAAGGATGCTGCTAAACATTCCATAACACATAGGACAGCCCCTCACAACAAAGAATTATCCAGACTAAAATGTCAATAATGCTGAGGTTAATGAACCCTGTTCTAGAAGCTGAACAAGTCAAATTTCTACAATCTTGGGCTTACATTCTAGTGGAAGAGAGAAACAAGAAACAAACATCTCAGTATCTCAGTACTAATAAATGGAATGGAAAAAAAGTCAACCAAAAAATCACAAAGGGAGCCCTCGCCAGTAATTCAGTGGTTAGAGCATCAGCCTGCACACTGACAGGTTGCGGGTTTGATTCCTGACCCCAGTCGGTGCTCATGCAGGAGGCCACCAATCGATGTGTCTCTCTCACACTGATGTTTCTCTCTCTCTCTTTCTGTCTCTCCCCCTCCCTTCCCCTCTCTCTACAAATCAATGGAAAAAATATCCTCAGGTGAGGATTAAAAATAATAATAGTAATAATAAAGAATCACAAAGGGAGAGTGTAGATGTAGGCTGAAGTGTAATGTTCTTTTAGACAGAACTGCAAGGAGAAGAGGCCAGGGGCGAGGGCCTGGCTCATCAAAGTGTCTCCATGAGCAGAGCAAGCCCTATGACCATTTGGGAGAAGAGCGTTCCAAAAAGAATTAACAAACAGCAAATGAAAAGCCACCAAGATGGGAATAAGCTTGATGTGTTAAGAGAATTAGTAAGAAGGCCAGGGCAGCTAGAATACAGTAAAAAGAGTGGCAGCAAATGAAATCTGAAGCCTTATAGGTCATCCCCCAAATCCAAAAGTGGTATCCTTCTCCATTTAATATGCCTATAATACCAAAGTCTAACTGAACCAATAGCTTCACACCTAAGGAAACCTCAAATTCAATCAGTTATTTCATTAGCCAGCACAGCTAGGGACCTATATACTAACTGGAAATTTTCCAGAGTTAAAAGTCACCTGATGGTAATCTGCCTGCCTATCCACCTGCCCTTCAACTTTGCTCCGAAAATGTAGTACAGCATGGGGTGGTAGGAGCTCATTTCCACAGTGGCACAATAGCATGCAGCTCCTAAGCCAAAGAACCCAAACATGGGAGAAGAGCCAGAAGCTACCTAAGAATATTCACATGCCATTCCAGGAGACTAACGAACAGCAGGAGCCCAACAGGTTCCTATAATTACATGGGAACTGATGTCAACATAGAATTATGAACACACCTCCATGTGCTCTAGGGCAGAATATAGTAGAGGTCTCCACTAAGGCATTTTTGGTTTAAAATATAAGGAAACAGACTAGAATAACTTTCAAGTTATACAAAGTCTACCACTCTCCCACCCCCAAAGGCTTTGTATAGTGTGAAAATGATCCACAGCACTTTCTTCTCAAAGAAGAAGGTGCTAACTTCCCCTTGAAATTCAATTCAGTCAAAACTCTGGTGAAACAGATTTCTAGCATGATGGAATTAATTAGAATTTCAAGGTTACTCCATGAAGAGAAAAAAATCATTTTTCCAACTGTAGACATTTTTCAATCACAGACAATTCAACTATGAAGCAAATCTATTAATTAGAATTTCAAGGTTACTCCATGAAGAGAAAAAAATCATTTTTCCAACTGTAGACATTTTTCAATCACAGACAATTCAACTATGAAGCAAATCTGATTGATCCAACAAGTAATAAAAAATCACATACCCACTGTGAATATTTAAACTGAAAATCCTAGGACTTCAACAACTAGGCCTGAATGGTTTATTCTTTAAATCAATTATTTTTCACAGTTAGAAGCAGCACATAACCCTGGAAAAGGAAGGAGGCAGAAGAACAATATATAACTACATGATGAAATCCTTTCAAATATCATTTCTCTAATAAAAACATAAGTATACATCCTAATAATGCAGCTTTTCTCCATTATATGATTCTTTCCTCTTGTCCCAGGTTACTTTTTAAAAGCCCTAAAAAAAGAAAGTCAGGAATGTACTTATTCACATACTACTTGATGTGGTCAATATGTAGGTACCACAGGTTATTCCCAGATACAGGGTAACCCAGGAGTCAAGTCGTCTCATCTAAAATGATAGCAAATCAATGAGAAGTCACCTTTTGTGTTCAATTAAATTACCACAGCTGCAAAGAATGGCTTCATAAAAAGATAACTAATACAAGAACTGTAAATTAAATGTCTGAAAATCATCCTAAACAGACTAACATGGAATGACCTCACCAAATATCCCCAGTTCCTACAATACCCCAAAGCCAAGAGAATATCCTGTTATCCTGAAAGCACTCAAGTATTGGGAAGGTGGGGGAACATGTACAGAAAATAGTCAACTGCTAATAGTCAATAGCTAATAATTGCCACAAGACTTCCAAGAACTGAGAACTAGGGTACTACACTTGGCTTCTACAACATTACTAAGACAGGTGCTATTTGGCTCCTGACCCTCAAGCAAGTCACAGCTGCAAACATCTCATTTCCAGATGCTTTACAGGTTGGCAGTAAAAGATACAGCCATTTTTTTTTTTTTATCCTCACCCGAGGACATTTTTCCATTTTTTTGTTCATACAGAGCAGGAGGGAGAGAGAGGAAGAGAGAGAGAGAGAAACATCGATGTGAAAGGGACACATCGAGTGGCTACCACCCGCACGACCAACCAGGGCCGGGGACAAACTGCAACCGAGGTACATGCCCTTAGCGGGAACTGAACCCAGGTCTCTCTGGACCGCAGGCCGACGCTCTAACCGCTGAGCCAAACCGGCCAGGGCAGCCATTTTTTTTTTAGACTTGGGGATCTAGAAATACACAAAAGAGAACATGCCCTTTCAGACCATCAAAGTTAAAAACAAACTTCAAATCACAGTGCTTTAACATCTCCCAAAACGATGCTGCATATAGCCAAGGCAGATCATTAGTACATCTGTTTTCTTTCTTTTTTAAAATAAATGTGGAGTTTTTTTGGTTTTTTTGCTAATCCTCACCCAAGGATATTTTTTCTACTGATTTTTAGAGAGAGTGAAAGAGAGGGAGGGTGAGGGAGGGGGACAAAGGGAGAAAGAGAGAAATCTATTGATTGCCTCCCACAAGAGGTTAAACCTACAACCCAGGTATGTGCCCTTGACCGGGAATAAAACCACAGACCCTTCGGTGTGAGGGTCAACACTCTAACCACTGAACCACACCAGCCAGGGAAGTAAATCTGTTTTCAAAGCCTGAGTTAATTTCTCATTTTACAAAAAAATTCAAGATTCCCTGGCCAGTGTGGCTCAGTTGGTTGGGCATTGTCCTGTGCACCAAAAGGTTGCTAGTTTGATCTCAGGCGTGCAGGAGGCAGCCAGCCGATTGATGTTCTGCTCTCAGATCGATGTTTCTCTCTCCCTTTCCCTTTCTCTCTAATAATCAATTTTTAAAATTCTTAAAGTGTCAGAAAAAAAAATTCCTAGGTTTGGACAATGAAATAATGCAGAAAGTAGCTCAATGTTTATAACTAATATTTCCTCCCCACCCACACGTCTCAGAAACCAGTAGGTTTACAAATCTTGGCTAAAAAACGGAGTCACACAAGGCCAAAGTTATTACCATCAGCCAGCATTTAACTAGAGAAGAGAGGAAGTAATCAGATGAAGAACACACATTCTAACTTAGAAATCCAGACCAAAGCTAGACAGTCTAAAACATAGTCTGAATACAAAAGCAAAATTAGGGGAAACCTAAGGAGTTTGCCTTGAACGTTTAAGATAGCAATAAATGGTTTAAAAGATCCTTCTAAAAAAGAGTTTCCAAACTTGCCTGAAGTCAAGACACATCCTAGGGCATTTGTTAAAAAACAAACATTAAAAGATCTCTGGGCCCTAATCCTTGACCTTCGAAAATCATAAATTTTCCAGAAGAAAGATCTGGGAATCTGTTTATTCAATTCTTGGTGTTAGGGAAGTCTAGAAAACACTAAAGGAGTATTAGTAATCAACTACACAGACACTATCTGAATAGATGTCAGCAAGAAAAATCTGATGAGTATGTTGGTTAAACATGAATGTGCTACATGCATTTTATCATAAAACACCATTAAAATTACCCAAAGGGATATTTTTCTTAAAGGCATACACTTAAAAAAAAAAAGAAAGAAAGAAAATAGGAAACAACAGAAAGAGATATGTTAAGAAAAATTTGGAAGCTGGAAAGCAGGTGCACTAGTGGTAAATAACTTTACAGAAAGAAAAATGCTAAACACTTGCAGTGGAAAGATGCAGAGTCCTAGTAGAGAGTCTCAGAAAAGGCTCAGAAATTGGAGGCACCTTGTACCTCTGGACAAAGGAGAATAACAATAGCTAAAACAGGAAGATTACCTGATAATCTGTACAAGAAATAAATTCCTCCATCCCCTTTTCCATTCCCTATACTGTCAAGCAGAAGATTGGAGAAGCTGAATCAGAGGACCTCTGAACCCAGGTACTGGTCACAGCTAAGGGCAGGAGTGCCAAGTTGAAAATAGGGGGTCAAATAAAAGTCTAACTTTTACTCTCATCTCTCTTCTCTGACTTGGCTCCAAAAAACACCTGCTGCTGGGTTGGGCTTATACTCTCTGGGCAAGAGACTGGCAGATCCTTTCTGAGGAAACTGACCAGCCACCAATTCGCCCTTTAGTGGAGCCCACCATCTGATGAGCCAGGACTTATTAGTGCCTCATTCTTTTTTTTTTTTTTTTTAATTTTTATTTATTTATTTATTTACCCTCACCCAGGGACATCTTTCTATTTTTTGTTCAGATAGAGTGGGAGGGAGAGAGAGGAAGAGGGAGAGAGAGAAACATCGACGTGAAAGGGACAAATTGAGTGGTTGCCACCCACATGACCCAGCCAGGGCCGGGGAAAAACTGCAACCGAGGTACGTGCCCTTAGCAGGAACCAAACCTAGGTGTCTCAGGACTGCAGGCTGACGCTCTAACTGCTGAGCCAAACTGGCCAGGGCTCATTCTTTTTTTTTTAATCCTCATCCAAGAATATTTTTTCCATTAATTTTGAGAGAGAGAGAGTAGAAAGAGAAGGGGGGGGAGAGACATTGATGTGAGAGAGAAACATTGATTGGTTGCCTCCCACACACAGCCTGACCAGGCCGGGGATCAGGCACGTGCCCCTGACTAGGAATTGAACCCTTGGCCCTTCAGTCCGAGGTCCAACACTTTAATCACTGAGCAACACCAGCCAGTGCAAGTACCTCGTTCTTAAAAATGAACAGATAGACAAGAATCATCAGACATTTGAAGAAAACCTCTGACATGAAAGTAGAAATCAAAGTAAACAAACAAAATTCCTGACAACATGCAAAAATATTTATATATAAAATTCTGAGCCCAGCCAGTGTGGCTCAGTGGATTGAGTGTCATCCCAAGGACTCAGAGGTCCAGGTTCATTTCCTGGTCAAGACACATGCCTGAGTTTCGGGCTCATTCCCCACTGGGGGGGGGGGGGAGGGGGAGGTGCAGGAGGCAGCCGATTAATGTTTCTCTCTCTCATCAATGTTTTTCTCTTTCTCCCTTCCTCTCTAAAAAAAGCAACAAAAACATATTTTAAAAAATATCCTGAGCTTTTTGGCTTTTGGCTCAGAGGAGGCTTAGATGCAACTTTCTTAGGTTCATCCCACACAAGCTGCCTCTACCATGCCACTGAAGTTTACTGGTGGGGAAGTTGGTGCCATGTCTGCTCTGGCCCCTAAGATCAGCACCCTGAGCATGTCTCCAAAAAACATTGGTGATTACACTGTCAAAGCAACCAGTGATTGGAAGGATCTAAGGAAATCAGTGAAACTGACTATTCAGAACAGACAGACCCAGATTGAGGCAGTGCCTTCTGCCTCTGCCCCTGCCCTGATCATCAAAGCCCTCAAAGAACTGTCACCAGTCAGAAAGAAGCAAAATAACATTAAGCAGTGGAAATATCACTTTAAAAAATAAAAATAAAAACCGTTTTTACTGATATTAGAGAAAAAGGAAGGGGAAGAGAGAGAAATAGAAACATCGATTAGCTGCCTCCTGCATGCCCCCTGCCGGGGATAGAACCTGCAACCCAAGCATGTGCCCTGACAGGGAATCAATCCAGTGACCTCTTGGTGCATGGGTGGATGGTCAACCACTGAGCCACACTGGCCGGATGGAAATATCACTTTTGATGAGATTGTCAACATTGCACAACAGATGTGGTACCAGTATTTAGCTAGAGAATCCCTAGAACCACTGAAGAGATCCTGGGGACTGCCTAGTCTGTGGGTTGCAATGTTGATGGCCGCTAACCTCATGACATCATAGATGGTATCAATAGTGGTACAGTGGAATGCCCAGCTAATTAAGATCTACAGAGAAGCTCTGGCCATTGTGGTTCAGTTGGTTGAGCATCATTGGGTGCATGGAAAAGTCACCAGTTCCAATTCCCAGTCAGGACACATACCCAAGTTTCGGGTTCAATCCCAGTCAGGGTGCTTCCAGGATGCAACCAACCGATGTTTCTCTCACATTGTTTTTCTCTCACACTGATGTTTTTTCTCTCTCTAAAAATCAATAAAAATATATTTTAAAAAGAGAGCTACAAAGGAAAATATTTCAGTTAAAGATCATTTGAGCCCTGGTCGGTTTGGCTCAGCAGTTGGAGCATCAGCCTGCGGACCAGAGAGTCCCAGGTTCAGTTCCCGCTAAGGGCACATACCTTGGTTGCGGTTCATCTCTGGCCCGCATTGGGGTCGTGTGGGTGGCAACCAGTCGATGTGTCTCTCTCACGTTGATGTTTCTCTCTCTTCCTTCCTCTCTCCCTCCAGCTCTATCTGAAGATAAATGCAAAAAAAAGCCCTTGGGTGAGGATAAGAAAAAAAAGATCATTGACAAATTAAAGTAAATAAAACTCTAAGATTTAAAAGAGCTCTTAGAAATGTATAAAACTGATACTAGAAGTAAAAAATACAACAGAAATGATGAAAGAAAAAAACTAAGGAAATCTGACCACTGAATGAGTAAAAAAAAGAAATTTGCAAGGAAAAAATATTAGAGGACCAGTTTAAAAGTTTTACCACCTGGATAACAGGGGTTCCCAGAAAGAGAGAAGACATAAATAATTATGAAAAAGGGAACACATTATCAAAAATATAATACAAGAAAACTTCACAGGACACAGGACAGAAATAAGCTTTAGACTAAAAAGGCCCACTAAATGCCAAACATGAATTTTAAAATATCCACACCAAGGCACAACATCATTGTATTTCAGAATACTAGAGGTAAAGACAAGATCCTAAAACCTTTCAGAGAAAAAAAACAGATCCCATACAAAGAATCCACAAACAGAATAGCATCAAACTTCACAACACCATTTTTGAAAGTTATAAGCAAGGCTTAAAATTTCCAAAGAGATATGATCTCCAACATTAAATTATATCTAATCAAACTACCAACTGTCAGGAAGGTAGAAAAAAAGGTAAGTTAGGAATGCAAGACCTCAAAAAAGGCACCCCCCCTCCAATGGACCCTTTTTCATAAACCCTCTGGAAGAGGCGCTACTAATGTGTTTGAATGTATTGGAAAGAGATTTATACTTTTGTCTGAGTTTAGGGATCAACTAGTAATTAATACTCAGTAACTCAAGCAAAAGAAGAATGAAGGGAGGAGAAAAGGAAAGAAAGAAAAGAATGGCAATTATTACATTTAGGGAAAAATACATAAGGAAATATAATCATAGTACACATAATCATTATATTGGATGCTAATTTTTTTCTCTTTTGGTAACATTCACTACTACTCCCCTCTGTACTCATGAAGTAGCAGGTGAGAAGAGGTTGGAGGCCTGGGAACTACATTCCCAGAATGCTGTCAATGGGGTTGTGATTTAAACTCTGAGAATACAAGACACTCACTTAAGATCTGGGAGATAGCCCAGCCAGTGCAGATCAGCAGTTGAGCATCAACCTATGTATCAAGAGGTCGCTGGTTTGATTCTGGTCAGGGCACATGCCAAGGCTGTGGGCTAGATCCCCAGCAGGGGCTATATAGGAAGCAGCCAATCGATATTGATGTTTCTCTCTCTCTCACCCTCTCCCTTCCTCTCAATCTAAAAAAAAAAAAAGATCTGGAAGACAGGAGAAAGGTAGATGCCACTATTGCTCTTCCAGTAGCAATGAGCAGGTATGTGGTTTCCAGTAGATGAGAGACATGTGGTTTGCAAGTTTCCAATATTCCGCAAATTTCCGGTTCTGGTGTTTAAGGCATTCAAGATTATTAATAGCAGCACTTTCTTACAGATCCCTGTAAAATGGTTTTCTCTCACCTATGCTCCCATAGCCTTCCAATGGTTTTGTAAGCATCTAATATTCTATTTGAAATATCAAGAATGGTTTCTCTTTCTGAATGAATTCTGATTACAATATAAAAACACAAAACACTGATTTAGTCAAGATTATGATATATCTGTATTAGGAAGTTAGCAGGAAGGGTTGAGGGTGGGTAGAAGTATAAGAATGCAAAATCATCTTTCATAGTAGACACTCAATAGATAATACCTAAGAATAAAAAAAAAAATCAAGAAATAAGAGTATAATACTATGTAGAAACATGAAGTTAATACACATCAGGAAATAAAAAACAGTAAAAGGATGAAAAGTAACTAAGGACAGCCTGGCCAGTGTGGCTCAATGGTTGAGCATCAACCCATGCAACGAAGAGGTTGCCAGTTCAATTCCCGGTCATGGCACATGCCCAAGTTGTGGGCCCAGTCCCCAGTGGGGGACATGCAGGAGGCAGCCAATCAATGTTCTTTCTAATGAATATTTCTATCTCTCTCTCCTTCCTTCCTCTCGCTCTAAAATCAATAAAGTAAAAAAAAAAAAAAAAGTAACAGGACAAACGAGGAGAAATGCAACAGCTATTTCTTTTTTAATAATAAGACTTATGGTACTATTTGACTCTTTAAACTATGTGTTCTTACTATTTTGATAAAAAAACAAAAGCAGCCCAGCCAGTGCAGCTCAGTGGACTGAGCACTGTCCTATGGACTGAGAGGCCCCAGTTCAATTTCCAGTTCCCAGCCAGGGCACATGCCCTGTTTGCACCCCAGTTACAGGCTCTATCCCCAGTAGGGGGCATGCAGGAGGTGGCCAATTGATGTTCTCGCTCATTGATATTTCTCTCTCTCAAAAAATCAATAAGTACATATATATTTTTTTTAAATTACCAAAACTGCCCTGGCCGATTTGGCTCAGCGGTTGGAGCTTCGGCCTGCGGACCAGAGAGTCCCAGGTTCGGTTCCCACTAGGGACACGTACCCCCCCAAAAAAATTACCAAAACCCTCAAAATTCTAACACTATATAAGGAAAACCAAGATTCAGATTGATCAAAAAATTTTAAAATAAGGTCAATCTAAATAAATAAATAAATAAAAATAAGGTCAATCAATACTACTCTGTTACTGATATAAAGACAGTACAAAATCCCCCCAAAAGAAAATAATCAAAAGGCTACTATGCTTGAACCTGTGTCTTGACTTCGGTGCTAATGGAAACAGGCCGCCTAATGTGACCTGAATCTCTGCCACAGCATGGGTGTAACCAATGTTCACCACTCCAGAGCTTACTCTACACCATAGGTCAAATACGTGAGGAATTTCCAGGTCACTTTAAAAACACGACCAAAATTGCCCTGGCCAGTTTGGCTCAGCGGTTAGAGCATCGGCCTGCAGTCCAGAGAGACCTGGGTTTGGTTCCCGCTAAGGGCATGGACTTCAGTCGCAGTTTGTCCCGGGCCCCTGGTTGGTCGTGCAGGTGGCAGCCACTCGATGTGTCCCTTTCACATCGATGTCTCTCTCTCTCTCTCTCTCTTCCTCTCTCTCCCTCCCACTCTATCTGAACAAAAAATGTAAAAATGTCCTCGGGTAAGGATTAAAAAAAAAATGACCAAAATTAATTGTAAAGGTAAGCACAAAAATAGAGGGGTAAATCTTAAAATCAGTTACCTTAGATCCTTTTTAGGACTTGTTTTCAATTTAATTCACTAACTGAAAAACAAAAACAACCAGTATCTGTTAATAAAACATCTTTAGAAGTTTTAAAAAATTATTAATTAGATTAAAAAGGTGATTACAAGATGAGCCGAAACCTAGTCATTGATAACCATTCTTTTCACTCTAGGCTGGCCAGATCTCATATTACTAGCCCTCAACTTCCATGTGCCATCCTTCATTAGCACAACCCAAATATAAAAGTAGAGCCAGCTGGTGTGGCTCAGTGGATTGAGTGTCATTCCATGGACTGAGAGGTCCCAGTTCAATTCCCAGTCAAGGCACATGCTGAGGTTTCAAGCTTGATCCCCACTGAGGGTTGTGCAGGAGGCGGTCAATTGATGTTTCTCTCTCACATCGATGTTTCTCTCTCTCTCTAAAAAAAAAAAATCAATAAAAACATATTTTAAAAGAAATAAATTTCTTAAAAAGAATAATAAAAGTAGAGAAGCACATACTGAGAACAGTGAGAAGGAAAACCTAGTGATGACAATCTCAAGTATAATAAGGCTTGAAGGGCCCTGGCCGGTTTGATTCAGTGGTTAGAGCATCGACCTGCGGTCCAGAGAGACCCGGGTTCAGTTCCCGCTATGAACACGTACCTTGGTTGCAGTTTGTCCCCAGCCCTGGTTGGGTTGTGTGGATGGCAGCCACTTGATGTGTCCCTTTCATGTCGATGTTTCTCTCTCTCTCTCTCTCTCTCTCTCCCTCCCTCCCTCTTTCTCCCTCCTCTATCTGAACAAAAACTGGAAAAATGTCCTCGGGTGAGGATAAAAAAAAAAAAGGCTTGAAGGAAAATAAACAGATACTCAATGAAATGTTGATCCAGACTTCACATGGAGAGAAGTGTTATGCCTCATTTCAAAGATAATATATTAAGTCCCAACTCACCACAGATAATTTAATAACAACGCGGTGACTTTCACTGTCGAGCAGTGTCTTCTCTCTCACTCTAAGACCCTTAAGCCATCAGATACACAGATGTTACTTGCTGAAATGCTAGAAAAATGTGCACATTTTCATTCCTTGATCACTAGTGATGGGTAGCTAAACCAAGAGTGTACTGTAAGTTATGAAAATAGTGCAAGCTGATCCAATTACACAATAAAGGCACTAAATCAAACTGGCCCATCTGGGCTTTGAGGAAGAGTACTGTAATTTCTGAAAAAAGTCAATATACTTGCAGAAAAAATGCTTTCATGCTTTTTTATAATGGCCCTTGGGCTACTGATTCATTTGTATGTCCAACAAAAATCATGTGTCACATTAAGACATATGGTTTAGGTGAAGGATATGACAGACTATTATATTCGCCAGTTCATAATAAGAACATCTGTGCACTCTCTCTAGCCCCATAAGGCTTACAAAAAATAGTCAATATTCCCTAGAAGTAGGTTTTCTTTTCTTTTTTTTTTCCTCACCCGAGGACATTTTTCAATATTTTGTTCAGACAGAGTGGGAGGGAGAGAGAGAAAGAGAAACATCGACATGTTTTCTGTTTCCTAAGTAGGAGGTCTGGCAAACTGACACTCCATCATCCCCATTATCTAAAAACTGCCCCCCAGGCCCTGGCCTAGCAGCTCAGTTGATTAGGGCACCATCCCCATATGCCGAGGCTGCAGATTTGATCCCCCATCAGGGCACATACAAGAATCAACCAATGGGAGAAACATCTGTAACAAAAATTAATTAATAAAAAAGAAAAAGAAAAAGAATCAACCAATGAATGCATAAGTAAGTGGAACAACAAATTAATGTCTCTCTCTCTCCAACTTCCTCTCTCTCTCTAAAAATCAATTAAAAAAAAAAAAAATTGGCCTTAGCCAGTTTGGCTCAGCAGTTGGAGCATCGGCCCGTGGACCAGGGATTCTCAGGTTTGATTCCAGTCAAGGGCAAGTGCCTCTGTTGCACTGGTCAGGGTCGTGTGGGAGGCAAGCAGTAAATATGTCTCTCTTGCATCGATGTTTCTCTCTCTCTCCCTCTCCCTCCCTCCCACTCTATCTGAGAATGGAAAAATATCCTCAGGTGAGAATTTTAAAAATAATTTTTTTTTTTTTATCCTCACCGGAGGACATTTTTTGTTCAGGTAGAGTGGGAGGGAGAGAGAGGAAGAGAGAGAGAGAGAGAGAGAAACACTGATGTGAAAGGGACACATCGAGCGGCCACCACCCGCACGACCGACCAGGGCTGGGGACAAACTGCAACCAAGGTACATGCCCTTAGCGGGAACCGAACCCGGGTCTCTCGGGACCGCAGGCCGACGCTCCAACCGCTGAGCCAAACCGGCCAGGGCTAAAAATAATTTTTTTTAATAAAATGAATTGTTCCCCAATAATCACTAATATCTATACCAAGTTCTAAGATCCTAAAACCTTTAAGACCTAATCCAGTCACACAGATTTAATTTGACCTAAAAGAAATCAAGACTAAAATAGGCTTTATCCAGGGAAGTTTTTATAGAGAACATGTTCCACTGTATAAGCATCAGATTTCTTTAAGATGTTGATGGTTAAGCATTAACACCAGTAAACTAATATCTGTGGAAAGGACAGAAAAAAATCCCTGCCATAAAGGTTGAGCTCAAAATTCACTATGCTATTTACTCATTTTTGGAGAGCTCATACTCAGAAGCCTTGCCTCCTACCTCTCTGCTTTTCACACTGGAACTTTCTTCAGTTCTTCAAAATAGCCATGTTCTTTCCCGCCTCAGGACCTTCACCTATGCCATTTCCTCTACCTAGAACAGTCTTTTGTCCTCCCCACATCCTTTAAGTTTCAGCCTTAAAAGTCATTCCTCACAAACCTTCCCTAACTACCCTCTTTCCCAATCTACCTGGGTTAGGTTTCCAATTAGCTGTCTCTAAAGCATTTAAGCAAAAGTAATTATTTGTTTACTGGATCTTCCCTGCTAGACCATAACCATGTGAGTGCAGGGACTGATTCAGTTTTGCTCACTGCTTTAGCTCCAGCATATAGCCCAGAGCTTGCTTGGCACACAGCAGCAAAAAATTCTTGTCAAATTAGTAAATAACAGGGCCTCCCAAAAAATCAGCTTCAGCAACTCTACTTACACAGGGTGGGTAAAAGTAGGTTTCTAGTTGTGAGTATGAAAAACATTGAGTTTATTCCTGTATTATTATTTTTAAAATTGATTTTTAGAAAGAGGGAGAGGGAGAAAGAGAGAGGAACATCGATGTGAGAGTGAAACATTGACTGCTGCCTCCTACAAGCCCCCTACCAGGGATTGAGTCTGAACCTGGGCATGTGCCCTAAATAGGAATCACATCAGCAACATTTTGGTGCATGGGATAATGCCCAACCAATTGAGCCATACTGGCCAGGGCTATTCTTGTGTTATATTTATTAATTATTGTATTATTTTCCATATGGAAAACTGTAAACCTACTTTTACCCATCCTTATAATTTACCCTACAGATACAGTCACACATGCAAAGGGCCAAATATATATGATTATTCCCTGGAGTAATTGGTTGGAGCATCATCCCATGCACTGAAGGGTCATAGGTTTGATTTCCAGGCAGGGCACACTCAGGTTGCAGGTTTGACTCCCAGACAGGAGGCAACCAATTAATGTTTCTCACATTGATATGCATGTGTCTCTCTCTCTCCCCTCCCCTCTCTAGAATCAATAAAAATAAATAAGTAAATAAATAAAATGTCTACTAGTATAGGGCCACTGCCATACTGCTTATACGGAATGATTGCCAAAATAAGTTAAAAAGAAAAAGTAGAGCGTACTAATAGTGTGTCACGCTTGTTTTCTTATTTTTTTGTTTGTTTGTTTTGTTTTATCCTCACCTGAGGACATTTTTCCAGTTTTCTGTTCAGATAGAGGGTGAGAGAGAGAGAGAGAGATCAATGTGAAAAGGACACGTCAAGTGGCTGCCTCCCACACGACCCAACCAGGGCCGGGACAAACTACAACTGAGGTACATGCCCTTAGCGGGAACCAACCCGGGTTTCTCTGGACTGCAGGCCGACGCTCTAACCGCTGAGCCAAACCGGCCAGGGCTGCGAAGGATCTTAAGAAACTGGTAATATTAGTTGCCTCTGGGAAGATGAACTGAATTATGAGTAGACAGTAGACTAAGGGCAGAAGGTAGAATATTCATTGTATATCCTTTTTTACCCTTCAAATTTTGTTAATGTATTATCTATTTAAAAAGTAAAATTTGGTCCTGGCTGGTCTGGCTCAGCGGTTAGAGCGTCGGCCTGCAGTCCAGAGAGACCAGGGTTCGGTTCCCACTAAGGGCACGTACCTCGGTTGCAGTTTGTCTCCAGCCCTGGTTGGGTTGTGTGGGAGGCAGCCACTCAACGTGTCCCTTTCACGTCAATGTTTCTCTCTCTCTCTCCCTCCCACTCTATCTGAACAACAACAACAACAACAAAATGAAAAAATGTCCTCGAGTGAGGATAAAAGTAAATAAATAAAAATGTTTAGAAATAAATAAATAAATAAATAAATAAATAAATAAAAAGTAAAATTTGCCCTGGCCGGTTTGGCTCAGTGGTTAGAGCATCAGCCTGCAGACCAGAGAGTCCCGGGTTCAGTTCCCACTAGGAGCACGTACCTTGGTTGTAATCTGTCCCTGGCCCCGGTTGGGGTCATGTGGGTGGCAACCACTCAATGTGTCTCTCTCACATCAATGTTTTTCTCTCTCCCTCCTAGTCTATCTGAAGATAAATGCAAAAATGTCCTCAGATGAGGATAAAAATAATAATAAAATAAAATAAAAAGTAAAATTTGCTAAAGACAGTCCTGTCCTTATTTCTAAGACAAGTGATGGAAAGTGTCTAAATACTTCATACCTGGATCTTTGATGACAAACATCCTGCTTACTAGCTGAGCACTGGGAGGGCAGAAGTGAAAAGAAGGAAAACTCACTTATCTGAAAATTTCAGACAGCTTACCCCATACTAGATTATATCACTTTAAAAGAAAAGTCCATTTTTTTGCAACCAAATGTCCCAAGCT